TTTAAATCCTGTAAAGAATTGTATTATTTATGAAAATAATTCAATTCATTCAACGAATTTTTTACATTTCTTTTAAATAAATTGAATTCTTGCAACGAATTTTATTACATTTCTTTTAAATAATTGAAGTCCTGTGAAGAATTTTATTATTTATGAAAATAAAATTGAATTGTTGCAACGAATTTTATTTTATATTTTTTAAAAAAAATTGAATTCTTTTGAGAATTTTTATTAAAATAGTAGATTTTGCAAATATTTGAATTTCAGCGAAAAACATTATTCGTGAAAGGTAATTGAATTCTTGCAAAAAATTTTTGAAAATAATTATATTTTTCGAGAAATTTATTTAAAATTTAAATATAATTAAAATCCTGTTAAGATTTTTAATATTTATAAAATTGAATTCCTACAACGAATTTTTATTACAATTTTTTTTTAATAATTGAAATCCTGTGAAGAATTTTATTGTTTATAAAAATAATTGAATTCTTGCGAAGGATTTTATTAAAGTATTTATAAATAATTTAATTTTCCTTTAAAAATTTTTATGGAAATTTATATTATTGATATCTTTGTATTTTGTAATAGTTTTTTACAAGTTGTTTAATTTCATTAAGGTTTGAATTTTAAATTTTTTGAAAATTTTAATTCCCATGGAATAATAATAATAATGATTAGATTATTTATTAAAAAAAGAAATTATTATTATAATTTATTATTGTTATAATTGTTTCGTGAAAAATTCTGGGAAAATTCAAATTATTGCTGTTTTCGAATAATTTTACAATAAATTAAGGAAATTCGTAAATAAATGTAGTAAAACATATTTTTGAGTATCAAATAATCATTTTCAGAGTGAATCAGAATACTCTTTAGGATCAGGGAAAAAGTGAAAATTTTGCCAGGCAATCAGGGAAAAAGAAAATTAATTTTTTATGGCAACCCTGTTATGGGACAAATTCGAGAGTAATTTATAATGAAATTTCGCAAATAAAAGACATTTTCTAGATAATATTGAATATTTGAAGAAAAAAATGGAAGGAAAGAAGAAATTGAGAGATCGAAATGAATAAAATGCACGTTATGCTTTTTAAGATAAAAATCTACATTCTCTTTTTATTTTCGGAAAAATTGACACTGTATATTGAAATTATTATATTCGACGGAGATAAAAATATGAGAATACTGGTTGAGCCAATTAAGAAACTTCAATACCGTGAATGGATGTCCTATGACATCATGTGGAATTGCCTGTCTTCTTTGTGTGTGTGTGTGTGTGTGCGCGCAATCAAACACTGATGCATATTAATTGCTCGGAAGTCTTATGATATCCAATTCTTTTATAAAATGTAGGTTGCTCGGATAATCTCCAGTCCCACGCTATTAACGTGTTTTATATCGTTTATCGCTAGTTATTCAGTCGATTTTTCATCGATATCTTCGCACAATATGAGCTCATAAAGTTTGGAATTTTTTTTTCTTTTTAGAGAAAAAAAGAGGGAAAAAGTACCAGTATCAATTTCGTGACTATCGACACTATTTTTCATCAGATTATGTATTAATTATCTTGTAAGTGTTTAACAAATTTTTAAAAAACTATAAGCTACCAGATAATTTTAGTTTGAATTGCAGATTTTAGTTTCGTTTATTTTCACAGGCCTCGGAGCAAAAAAAAATCGTTTTAGTCTATTTCAAGTCGTTAATTTTTAATTAATTAATTTTCGATTAATTTTAAAAGTCGAAAAGTAGTTTATTTTATTAACTTGTCAAAAAAAAATTCTAACTTTCTATTTCCTTGACTCTTCACTTATTTTCTACAATTTTTAATTCAACTTATTCAGAAGTTTAATAATTTTATTTTAAAATAAATATTTATTTTTATCAAATACCTAACAATTTAAATATTCAAATAATTTTAATTCGAAGCCTTCTGAAATCAAATTGTTTATAAACTGCAACAATAGCTTCTCCAAAGATCAATTATTTTCTGGGTTATAATTGAAATTTTGTAAAAATGTTAGAAAATAATTGAAATTTTCAAAATAATTTAAAAAAATTTTAAAAACTAATCAATATTATGAATGTTTGTAGTTATTTTATGTATAGATATTTCAATTTTCGAAAAAAATATTTAATTGAACATTTGAAAAATAATTGAATTTTTTAAAATATTATAATTTGAAAAAATGTTTGAATTACTTTTTTAAAAAATACTTCAATATAAATTTTTGTAGCTATTTTTCATTAATCTTATATTTTAAAGAACTTGAATTTTGAAAGATTTTAATAATTAAAATTCTTCTGAAATTAGTTAAATTTTTTAATATAATATATTTATCTAGTTTTATTATAAATAATGGATTTATAGAAGAATTTTAGTTAAAAACACTTTTAAAAAACTTGCATTTTGGAGAAGTTAGAAATGATTGTAGAAATTCAATTATTTTCAAAAGTAATAAAATTCGTCGCAAAAATTCAATTGTGTTAAAAAATTAGATCAAAAAATTCTCTTCAAAATTTCAATTATCAATTTCAATTATTTTTAATTTTCCATTCAAAATTATTTTATTAATTATAAAATTCATCTCTAAAATTCAATTATTTTCATAAATAATAAAATTCCCATAGGGAATTCAATTATTAAAAACACAATTTTCATAAAAATTTTCGAAAAAGTCAATTTTAAAAAACTTTTATAAAATTCTGATTAAGAATTCAATTATTTAAAAATTTTTTTAAAAGTTCTTTGCAATAATTCAATTATTTTTATGAAATTCTTTTCAATTATTTACATAGGATAATAAAACTTTTTTGCAGAATTTAAATTATTTTTAATAAAATTTTAAATTATTTCCTCAAAAAATGCAATTATTCTTAATGATTTTATTTAAATTGTTCTAAAGAATTCAATTATTTTTGGAGATGTTGATTTAATTTGTTTATTAGAATTTAATATACTTATTCTCAATATCTACAATTTCTTAAAATTTCTCAAAAGAATTCAATTATAAAAAAAAATTTAATAAAAATTGTCACAAGAATTCAAATTATTTTCATTTAAATAATAAATTTTTCACAGGGAAATTAATTATTTTATTTTATTTCAATTTTTTTTAAATTTTGGAAATTTTATTAACATCTTTTTGAACGAATTTAATTTCAAAACAATTTTGATAAAATTCTTTATAAAAATTCAATTTTAAGAAATATCCAATAAATTATTCATTTATATATTTAAATAATTGAATTCACGTAGAACTTTCTATGAGGAATGAATTGATTTAAAATTGAATTTCCATAAAAATATAGAAATCATTTTTCGAGGAATTCATTTAAAATTGTATTAAAAATAGTGGACATTCTTTGATAAGTTTTTTTATTTATTAAAATACATAATTGAATTCTTGTAACGAATCTTATCAAAATTTTTAAAAATAATTGAATTCTTGCGCAGAATTGAAAATTGTGTTTTAAATAATTGAATTTCTGTGAAAATTTTATTATTTTTGAAAATAATTGAATGTTTTTAAAGAATTTTATAAAAATTTCTTTTTAATATAATTGAAATCTTTTGGAAATTATTTTTCGAGGAATTAATTTAAAATTGTATTAAAAATAATTGATATCCTGCGATAAGTTTTTATAAGATTCTTTATAAAAATTCAATTTTAAGAAATATTCAATTATTCAATTAATTATATATTTTTGCATTTATTTAAATAATTGAATTCTCGTAGAATTTTCTAATGAAAATTGATTTAAAAATAAATTTTTGTTAAAATTTTAGACAATAATTGAATATTAAAAACATGGCGGCCTAAATTTTTATAGAAATATAATTGAATTTTGAAAAGGTTTCAAATTAAAATGTTTGAATGTCTGAATTCTTCATATAAATAACAATTATGTATGAATTAATTTTTTTGAAAAAGTTTATTTAAATTTTTGTTTAAAATTATTTAAAGTTTTTATTTTCTAATATATATTTAATTGACGAATTTCCAAATAATCGAAATTTCGTAAAATTGAATTGTAAACAAATTGGTTTGAAAATTATATTAAAGAACTTTTTCAAAAATTATTAAAAACAATTGATTTAAAGAAGAATATTTTAGTTACAAATTTTAAAAAATATTTTTCATCTTTTGATAATAATATTTTTTTAAGTTATTGAGTTTCAAAAGGTTTGAATTTGAAATTTTTGAAAATTTTAATTCCTACGGAAAATTGAACCGCCGGATCGTAGAAGGGCATACAGCCCATTTGAATTACATTGGCTATATGCCCTACGATCCGGCGCGGCGGTTCAATTATTGATGGTTAAATATTTATTTAGAAATTAAGTTATTGATGTTTTCGAATAAGTTTACATTTAAAGAAATTCGTTAATTAATGTAATAGAACATTTTTTTGAGTATCTAATAATTTTTAGAGTGAATCAGAATATTCTTTAGCGTCAGGGAAAATGACAAAATTTTTTCTGGAAATCAGGGAAAAACAAAATTCAATTTTTGTTTCAACCCTGTTACAGCATGAGTTTTAGGAATAATTATAAATTTAGGTTTGAGTTTATTTTTATACAAATACGAGTAAAAATACTAAAACAGGGAAATTTTGAGAGAGATACATAACTTGGAGTACGGAATTGCCAATTGTCAAAATAAAATATTGGCAATATTCAAAATCTCTTACAGATGATCTTAGGTTAAAATATATTTTCATCTTGGGGCTAATTCCACCAACCTCAATTAAAAGTTAATCAATGTTTAAAGCCATTTTAACGATTTTAATGATTGATTGATTGATTGATTGAGGATTTAATCATTGATTAACTTTTAATCGATATTGGTGAAACTAGCCCTTAATTTTAAATCCTGAAATTAATCTCAAACATCAACTGTTTACATTTAACCCCAAATGACCCATAATTCATTTAATTCTATATTTAATCCGTTTAATTTTCTTGAATGATATTGACTAACATTCTAATTAATTTTCAGATTAACAAACTAGGAGTTATCATCATCATTATACTAACACAAGTTGTTATCATCATCGCAATCTCTCGTCACATTTTCTACCGCAAATTGGGTTGCAATTAAAAACGTTTCTCTTGAATTAAAAAAAAGCAAACAAACAAACAAACAATTCGCCACGCCAAAAAGTGAGGAAAATTTGTTTTCGGTGTATACAGCGAGCCAGGTTCTTGAAGCTTTTATTATGTACGTAGATTGTACAGATGTGTATGTTTGAGAAAAGCATATATATATCTGTAGGTATAAAAAGCAGTCCAAGAGCACGTTGGAGATATATTATTATATCTAAGAATGTCAACTAGTGCAAAAGCGTTAGGTGGAGGGCCAACAAGAAACCAGGTTGACGTAACAACCGCGATGATTTTAGCGGGTCGAAGAGCGCAGGGCTACAGGAGGACGGCCCAGTTCTAATCGTCTCGGCCGCTAAGCCTGCAGTTCAGGCATCTCGTCTCTTTACGCGAAAATTTAAAAACAAAGAAAGGAAAAAATATTTTCCCCCCACGTTTATTGACTCATCGTTCGAAAAAAAGGGGAAATTAAACTCGAAGGTCTTGCTACTGTTATTTTGTTTGATTAGAGGAAGTTTACTGTTGTTGTTACATCATCAATCAAGTAAATAGTGACTTTTCTTCAATTCTTAACCAGACCCACGTGGTTTCTTTTGTCAGGTACTTGCTCCAGATTTCTGACAATCGATCCGCCAGTCAATAAATTTCACACAGGACAAAGTCGTTTCTCGCCAACAAAAGTTATTTTTAAATCTTCGTTCATGATTGGTTGTTTTTTCCTCGTAATTTTATTTCTTTTTTTTTGAGAGAGACACTTAGTTCTTTTCGTTAAAATTCTATTCTAGTGACTTTTTTCTTTTCCGCAAAATAAAATTCGAAAACTTTTTTTTTAATATGAGAGAACAAACAACATTTTTTTCTTTTCATTCCTAATTTTTCTTTTCAGTAATTCAGGCTTCGCACTCCCATGTAGAAATTTCCCTACTTGTCCCTACCAAATGTTGGATTCTGATTAGAACCATCCTAGAAAATCTACTCTAGAAAAATCTGTCTAGAACCTCGCTAGATTCTGACTAGAATCTCTAGTCTACAAAAACTAATCGGTTTCCAATCAAATTCTAGTTAAAGAATTATTATTACTAATTTTGTTTTATAAAGAATTATTATTAATTGATATTATTATTTATTATTTTAATAATTTAAATAATTTAATAACTTTATAATTTTTTAATTTAAATTATTATTAGATTATAAAGAATTATTATTAATTGAAATTATTAGATAATTCAGACTAGAAAAACTCACTAGGACCTTATTGATTTCCAACTAGCGACAAACTAGTGTACAAGTAATATACATAAATTGTCTTTCTATAAATAAATATTTTTATGAATTGTCAAAAACATTTTAAAGTATAATTGCACTTACATATATTTTTAAATAATTATTTTTACGGATAATATTACAATATTTAGGTAATAAAAATTAATTATACTCACATAATTAATATTTATTTGTGTCTTATTCTTTTAATTTACTTATTAAATAAAAGATTTTTATTTAATAAAATTGTTTTATTGGAATTTTATGTAAGAATGTTCTACAATATTAAAAATTGGGTTTCAAATATGTTAAAAAATGAAATAATTAAATAGTATGCAAAATTTTTTAAAAAATAATGCTGGTAAAAATTATTTAACTAGAATTTGATTGGAACCCGACTAGTTTTTCTAGACTAGAGATTCTAGTTAGAATCTAGCGAGAGCCCTACTAGAGATAGGGGCAAATGGTGAATTGCTGCACGGGATGTTATTTAAGCGGAGGTGCTTCCAAGCTATCACGGCCGGGAGGTATGTGTATCCGACTGGAGTCCCCAAGGTCCAAGGTTCGATCCCCCATGGGCACGAGATTTTTCAACTCAAGTTTCAGGTTTTTCGTGTACAACATTCATTAATAATGTTAATATGAATGAAGAATTTAATTATAAATAGGTTAAGTTGAAAAATAATAATTTTTAAAAGTCAACTAGAAAATTCTAGTCGGGGCCCTATCAACACACAGCTAGTTTTAATACTAGTTCCCGACTAGATATTCTAGTCTATACCCCATCTGCCGACCGTTATGAAAGTAGTTGGGTTCTAACGATTTTCTCTAATCAGTTCCCCACTACAGATAGGGAATTCTGGCTAGGACCCCATAAAATTCCAATCTCAATTTCTGCATGAGCTCATCTACTAAAATCTATTTATTAGACTGTTTACGATTTGCTACTATTTGGATACTTTTTTAATTGTTACACTAAAAGCTACTTTTTTCCATGTTTGAGAATTTACACTATACTTTAAATTTGTTAACAGTTGAAATAAAAAAAATTATTTTAAAAAATTTTAATAAAATTTTTAAAAAAATGAAAAAAAATTTGGAAAAAATTCTAAAAATTTTAATAAAATTCTTTGCAACGATTTAATTATTTTCACAAATTTATCGTAATTCAATCTATCAGGGTGGCCACGTGTCAGTAAAATCAGGGAAATTTCAGGAAAACAACATTTTTGTCAGTAAAGTCAGGGAAATGCCAGGGAAAAAATTTTCTATTAGGGAAATTGAGAAAATTGAGACTTTTTTCGATTTATTTTAAAAAATTGCGACTTTTTCGACTTTTTTCCAAATATTGCAACAAACTACCACATTTTTTTAGTATAAAATGCAACGTATTTTTATTTTTATACTGCGAAAAATAACTATAAACAAATCTTTCAAAAATTATTCTTGAATCATTTTTTAAGGGCATTTGAACCTTGATGACGTCACACATGCTTTGCACAATCTGTAACGTCATCAAGGTTCAAATGCCCTTAAGATAATTAAATTTTTCAAATAAATCTATAATAAAAATCGTTTTAAATTTAAATAATTGAAATTTTGTAAAATAGAATTGAAAATAATAAATTTTTTTTAAGTATTTTGTTACAATTTTTGAAAATCAAATTTTAAATAGTTTTAATTCAAAATTTTGAAAATAATTTAATTAAAAATTTTAAAGAAAAATCTTTAAATGTAAATGAGCAATTCCACGCCAAGTGATCATAAGAATTTTCGATGATTTTAGCAATATTAAAAATACTTTCAGAATTTCTTCCTTTTTATACATGGAATAAAAGTGTATAAAAGTTTTTTTAAAATTTTCAAAATTTTTTGAGTTACCTCTTACTCAAAATAATATTATATAATATAATATTATATATAATATTATTATAATAATAAAAATTTATTATTTAACCCTTGTTTAAACAGTTTATAATTTTCAATTTTTCAATTAATTGTTTAGAAAAAATTAGAAATTTCTAACCCAAATGAAACTTATGAAAAAATGAAAAAAGTACATAAGAAACAAATATAAATTTCTTACCCTAAGTATAAATAGTTTATGAAAAAATAGCAACAATTAATTGTTTAAACAATGTTTTAATAAATAATTGTTTTTTTATCATCAGTAGATATATTACTTATGAAAAATTGTACAATTGAGAAGAAACTAGTAATTTCTAGGCCTAAGTATACAGTTTATAAAAAATAACAACAATTAATTAATTAAAAAGTGTTTAATTAATTTATTCTTTATCAATCAAACATTATTTTAATAGGTTTTTTAAATAATTTTCTTAATCAATAAAACTAAAAAAAATATATTTTACGATTTTATGATTTTTTTAATACTTACTGTTATTTAAAAAATGTTTAAAAACAAAAATTCAAAAATAAGGCTCAAGAGATCCATAGAGAATTTAATTACGAAGATTTAGAAAAAAAGAAAAAGCGTTTTGTTAAAGAATTGTGACCTATAGTGTGATTTGAAACGAAACTTGCGCGGCCATAAGTGAATACATGCACAAGTCCCGGCACGCCGCGCTGCACACTTTATTTTTTTTCTCGTAAAGTTATTTTTGTCCCATAATTAAATTTACAAGAAGTATTCTTTACTTAATTGACAATATTTACCAAAAAAAAATTTTCAAATCGAAGATATATTTTTTTCAAAATTTGAATTCAAAAAATTTTTTTAAATTTTTTTCGGGCAAAAAAAAATTTTTTATTAAATTTTATTTTTTTTCTTTAAAGTACTTTTTATTATGAGTATTTTCCAAAAAAAATTATCTTAATCGGTTAACAAGAAAAAAAGTTATGTGCATTTTTTGAAAAACCGACCAAAATTTTGAGTAAGAGGTAACTCAAAAAATTTTGAAAATTTAAAAAAAACTTTTATACACTTTTATTCCATGTATAAGAAGGAACAAATTCTGAAAGTATTTTTAATATTGCTAAAATCATCGAAAATTCTTATGATCACTTGGCGTGGAATTGCTCAAATTTAAAAATGAAAATTAATGAAAATTATCTTCTAATTTTTTAAAATCAATTATTTTCAATATTTTTAATTATATATTTCCGAAAATTCAAAAATACATACAAAAAAATAATAACATTACAATTTTTTAGAATTATTTTTAACATTTTGAAACAAAAAATTATGTTCAAAATTTGTAATTAAAATTCCTCAAGATTTTAATTAGTTTTTTTTTAAATTATACCGAAATTCTGTTAAGAAGTTAAATTATTTTTTAAAAATTACATTAAAATATTTTTAAAAACTAATTCTTAGAATTGTTTTATCGTAAATTTTTTAAGATTCAATTACCTTCGAAGAAAGTAAATATAAATTTATAAAAATGTACTTTTTTAGACTTATTAAAATTTCTGTGAAATCATGGTCGCATATTTCAAAAATTTGATTATTTTTATTTATATTTTTCAAAAATTCAATTATTTTTAAAAGATTTTAGAAAATTTTAATTGTTTGGAAATTTTTCATAAATAATTAAAAAACTATTATCTTTCGAAAATAATTTTCAAATATTTTTAAAAAATTAATTGTAAGAATTTCTTTATTATATTTTTTTGAAAATATGATACCTTAATAACTTAAGAAAAAAAACATGGACATCTACAATTATTATAAAAAATTGAGTTTCTGTATTTAAATAGTTGAATTATGGAAGAACTTTCTGAAAATTATTTTAAATAATTGATTTAGAGATGAAGTTTATTTGCAAATTGTAGAAAATAATTGAATTCAGGAAGGGTTTAAATTGTAATTTTTAAAAATTATTAAAATTCATA